TCCCCCAACCGTTATCTTCTGGTTGACTATAATCGATATTTCACCGGGATTTGAACCCTTCAATCTATCGACACAAGCTACTCGATCTAACCAGCGTCAATACTATTTCACTGGTCTCCAAAACCTTTTCATTAATGAACGAGCAACGAAGTGACCATTTATGGCTAACTCGCAACTCAAATTATATTCCTAAAATCGCTTCATAGTTCCATGTGAATTACTTCCGCAGGGAACAGTTTTCAAAGCTCCAGCAGAACAGAACAAAACATTTATCCACGACGCGCTTCCGAATTAACCGCTGCTTCCGGTAATGCTCACAAGCTTTTTAGACTAGTCCGACCCTCTAGTAGCAAAATCCCACGTACCAGGAAGACGGTATACTAAATCGATGGTGAACGTGTCCGCAATCTATGACGTGGGGTTAAACGTTAAGTGAAACAGTTCCATCAACAATTCAATTGACCATCAACATCACTTCCTTCATCTTCTGACGCGCACAATGCTCCATGGTCTGTGGGCCTTTCATCGCCTACCGAGGAAGAAGTTTCTTGCGAGCTCAAACTTCTGAAGCGCCAAATCGCCCGACCCAGATGATCTCCCGCTGGTCCTTTTTCAAAGACGGTCGTGCAAGCCTTCTCCGAGAATTGACTTCCTTATTCCAAACCATCCAGAATGCCAAATCCATTCTATCTGAATGGAGTTTGGTGGACGTCGGATCTTTTTAAGAAGGGTCCCCACCACGATTGCTCTAACCACCAAAGGATAAGTCTCATTTCCGTTGCATCCAAGGTGATCACGTCGTTGATTCTTCTCAGACTCAGTTAAATAATAGAACGTAATATCCGTGAAGCACACGCTGAATTCCGCTCCGGACGGGCTGCGTTGACTACATATTTACTCTACTTTAGATTCTCGTGCAATGCCAAACGTTCGTTAACCCAACCGTTGTTCTCTTTTTGTACCTAACTGCTGCATTTGATTCAGTTGACAGAGCTGCTCTCCAGACTTGTCTGTTGTCAAGCGATATGCCTGAGAAGTACGTAAACCTTCTCGAAGCTATCTACTTAAAGACATCAGGCCGCTTCAAGGTCTACTATCCCATCTCCCATTCATTCACCGTCAAAAAAGTAATCCAATAAGGTTGTCCGGCCCCATCTCCACTATTTAATTTCGCAATATATAAAGTCCTAAGCTGTGCTCTAGAAAACTGCAGGAATTCCAATGTCGAGCTTCTCCCAGATGATGCATTTCGTCACTTAGAGTATGCATACGTCCGCTCTCATCAACGCGCTTTAAACCCAAGGCTGAGTGATTGAATTTTACTGCCACAGCCGAATTTGGGCGGTTGTCCCGCCTAACACCACGTCTGGCCCAGCAAGATCTTCTGTGGTTTGCCACAAGTTCTGGGGCTTGGGTTGCCGGTTTCCACGAATCAACACCTAACCCTCATAACTGTGGGGTCTATCCCGTATGATACTTATCACATACTGCGTGTAATAAGAAATGAAAATAAATACTCTCCTGGGTTACGGGACCTATCAGCCGACGAATATTTCCGTCACGTGCCAATCAAATCATATCATTGGAGAGAGACCATCTGTGGGCTTCGTCAAGGGCGTTCTGGAGGTCAAATGAATCTTCTGGTTTTGTTATTGTCCTCCATATCCTGGCATCGTCCGCAAACAGCACAGTTTGTGGTCTGAGGATGTGTGGGGGATCATTTATAAAGACAAGGAAAAGACATGGGCCTAGTACAGATCCCTGTGGAATCCCACGATTGACATCCATTGGATCAGAAAGTGAATCGGAAACACAAACTGACATGGTATGTTGGCGAAGAAACTCCTCGATTCAGCCAAGAACGAGTCCACAGATTCCATAATTATACAGCTTCCGTATCAGTATTTGATGATTTACTCTATCACGTCTTTTCCTTGCCTTTATAAATGATCTTCCAGACGTCCTCGGACCACAAACTGTGCTGTTTGCGGACGATGCCAGAATATGGAGGACAATAACAAAACCAGAAGATTCATTTGATCTCCAGAACGCCCTTGACGAAGCCCGCAGATGGTCTGTCTCCAATGATATGAAATTCAACGTTACCAAATGTAACGTTTTATCACTACGTCACCCTGGTCGTTATTCCTACACTCTCGGACACGAAACTCTGCCTCATGCTCCATCCGAGAAGGATCTGGTAGTAGTCATTCGCGCAGACTTGAGTTGCTCCACAAACTGTTTCACGGCGTCATCCATGGCGGTAAACACAGATTGGACTTCTCAAACGTGTTTTTGGATCGTTTGAGCCGGCTTTGTTTCCAAGTCTGTTAGCCATGCATATATCCATCCATACACCGAATACTCAATTCAGGCGTGGAACCCATGGCTGTAGCGAGATCGGAAGGCACTTGAACATCCACAGAGAATGGTCACCCAAGATGGTCAAAGGTCTACATTCCAAGACCTATGGCGAAAGAATACAGCTCTTGGGGCTATACTCATCTCAATGTCGTTAAATCAGAGGCGATATAATCTTACTGTATCGTATTTTCCAACGGCCCAAACATCCATGTAGATCTCTTTTGGTGCTATCAACCAATGTTCATTTCAGAGGGCATCCACTAAAGTTGGCACTCCAAAAGAGCCGTCTCGACTGCAGGTGCCATTCATTTGTAGTCAGAGTGTGCCGTAAATGGAACTCTCTACCACCTCACGTGGTCTGTGCGCCAACATTAATATCTTTCAAGCGTCAGCATGATGATGCTCTGGGAAACATTATGTTTTAACACTCAATTACATAATATATTTTTCTGTGCTCGTTAAAAACAATACATTACTATTTTACTTTCATGAACTAACTGTGATCTTGTGAATCGTGTTCCGAACCAAAGTGTAAACACCCTATGGGATTTGATAAGCGAAGTCTTTGTAAGTTTTGTCCCATAATAAAATTTGAATTTGAATTTGAAAATCACGGCACAGTAATCTTTCCAAAAAGATTTGTCGTGGGCACGTGAAGAAATATTAGTCGTCCCTGTTATTCATTTGTTTTTCGTTAAGTTTCACTTTTTCTATCCGTTATCGAAGTACTTTGAGTAGTTTTTGATAAGATGGATGATGGCAAGGAAAGAAGACGATTTGGACCACTCTTCATACTGCACCACCTGGGCATCATATCGCCATATGAGAAACCAGAATATATTGTTGTGCAATACCGTACAGATCTACTAGATTCTGACACCTGGTGGTTTCATACTTGCAACTGAGATCTGCATTATGAGATTTCTGTTGAATCAATCATGAATTGCAGATAAATACACAAAGCTGCAGTCTCTTTCAGTTGAATCTTATCACTGTCGTGACCTCTGAAGTTACCACCCTTTGTGCTTTGCCGTTTGTTAGCACCAGACGTGCCACTATTGATCGACCTACAAACTCAAACGAAGAGGTGGACATATTGATTTATTTTATCATTGATTGCCTGTTGGTTTGGATCAATATCTGGATCGGTTCCAGTACCAATCAGTTAACTCTGTTGATCTCAACGTTTTGTTTCTAAAACTCAGATCGAATACTTTTCTACCCCTGTAGGTTGAGTAGATGACCGAGAAAACGGTGGTCTCAATTTTTCGTATGATAGCTTCCATCCGGTTAGAGGTGAATTGCTTGTTTAATGTATCTCAATTTACCGGTGTTCTAAGTCAAAATAATTCACTTCACAATTGAGCCACAAGTTGAAAGCCTCAAGGATGGAAACGTAAAAGAAAGACGTAATCTAGAGGATAGTTTTACTCGAGACGGCAACGGTGTGATACGGGTGATCCCGTACACACTCCTGATGTACATGATTTTGATAAATTTCTTTAGAAATGGAGTTGTGGGAATATTGTACACAAGTGTGAATAATTATGGTAGTAAACACTGGAATAAGTATCGCTGACGAGAGAAGAGCCTTTTCAATTTCAGCCTCCCAGCATTGGTCCCCGAATGTATACCCACGATCAACGAGGTGAATTTTCTTGATTATTCTAGGGCCGTTTTTAACGACTTCCGGAAGAGCTGTATGGCGTACTCTGTGAGTAGTTTTATATGCTCTGTTGACGCCTGTAGAGCCTGTATTGCAATACAGTTGCCAAGCTCGGCAAACAACTGAACACCAAATATATATATATATATATATATATAATTTCATTACAGTTTGAAGGTTACGTAGAAGTTGCGGAAGTTTCAGAACGATGAGTGCCCGTTGGTTATGTTCCATCCTGGCTATCTAGGTAGAAGAAATAGGTGAATCTCTATGTCCCTATCCACAAATTTGATTCGAAAATCAAACCCGTAACACATCAGAACTGATCTCAGAGTCCGCTATCCATTGGGGACCGTTGTAAAATTCACAGACTAATACACTCTTTGGACAGAACCAAGCTTCCAAGGCGTCTATTTTACTTTAATTGATTCCATGACCATTGCCATAACCAAGGTGTGGATGAGATTCGTACGCCTTGTCTTGTTTGCTTTGCCAAGTTCTATTCCTGAAGTGCTGGTGGTTCACCAACCCGGTTCTGATCCGAGATGTTACTTTTTTGTGCCCTCCATTCGGAGGGAAAACAGCTCTGCCACACAGAGAACACTGAGTTCGGCTTCCTCAACATAGACCCCTGAAGACCCTTGATCGTATAAGAACATTTCTCGAAGTACAAGAGGACGGTGACCAACCACAATCTCAGACACCCGTCGCCAGTCATGCTGATACTTTCGTAAGCTGTGGTTTTATACATTAGGTTCTGTATCGAAACGCGGGTAGAGCACTGTCACCATCACTCATTTTTGGTGGTGAACAATGTAAGTGGCATATTTGATCCGATTTTGTGGTTTTGTGGTTTCTCACGTTCACACATTTCGCGTTATTCCCATCAAATCCAATTGTTCTACAGTCCCATTCCTATTTCCATTTTCGTTTTGCCGCAAACATACAGGGCGTGTATTTCATATTTCGCATGGCTTTGGCAATTCTGAAATTCTCCGCGGACAAACTGCTCACGGCCGATATGGAGTCTATGGTTGTGGTAAGCAATTAGTATTACACTAAACGAGAAAGTATTAATAATGTTATTATTATTATTATTATTATTATCATGACTACGGTGTGCTTCTTCGATCCTCGGGTAACCTAGTTTCATTCCAGAATTGAGGTCAATGACATACGAAGTCCTCAAGTGGTAATAAGAAGAGGAACTTTTGTAGTCCATTGGTTATGTCATTGGTCATACGAAAAAAAGTGATTATAAAAGTGAATGACAGATAATATTCATGCTCATAATAATGACGATAAAAACAACTAGGTGAACTGACAAAGCGGTTTTCTGCGACCTACCCGTGTTTGTGTGACGTCAAAATGGCTGCCGTAGATCGCAATCTGTGAGTGGGTGTATGCGTGGGTAGATTAGATGTAGATGCGAAATGATCTGCTTGTGCTTTGAATGAGATCATTGTTGTCTCTGAGATATCGTGTGCTTTCTGGTAGTCTGGTTAATTGGTTTACTTCGTAATGACATCCACCGTCAG